TTACAATAAAAAACAATAAACAAACAAAAGGAATGTGTTACACTCTGGTTACACTCGAAACAGCATACTAATATACTACTCATACTCATTAACCATATCTGTCTATGGCAGAAATATTAATAGTAATAAGCGGTTCCGAATTAAACAATTGATTTTATGAGGAAAACTTTGTTGACTAATAATCTGTGGGAATATTTTATTCCTTGTTAAATGATTTTTAATGTTAGTTTGAGGTAACCTAAGCTATTTTGCTCAATCATCACTGAAGTGTCCAACTGACATTTGAGATATTTACATGAATTAGTGAGACTCACGTCAGCTTCCCTTCTATGTCTATATAATTTAAAGTATACACAAAAAAAGGACAGAGGCGCACTTGTTTTTATTCCCATCAGGTGGAGCAAACAGGATCACTCACTATTGAAAGTTTTGTTTTGAAACATTTCTCAAATATTTCACAATGATTCTACACACAGTATGGCTTTTTTTCTGTGGAATAACACTGCAGAAGCTTTGCATGATGTTAGTTCTACCTGTAAAAGACACTGTTGGAAGAGAACCACTTTCTTAAGTTTTGAACATTTCTGAACCAAACACAAGAAACCATAATTTTTAGATAGAGAAAATTTCACAATCAACATTGGCTTTGCGTGCCCTCATAAATATTACAGATCTTTTACATGCTGTTATAGATTCTCTACAACGTCAGTGTTGATCCGGCATTACAATGGCCAACATTGCACCGTAAACACTCTTAGAAATATAATGCACCTAAAACACAGTCAAAATATTCCCAACAGACGCCATAGTCTCTCTCTGAAAGACATGTTATTAGATAGCTATAATAAAAAAGTAAAAGGTCAGAGCTTGGAGATCAGTCTATGTAGAATGTTTTTGCGAGAAAGGCAGAGAGAGAAGGACGTTCATAAAAAGTCATTAAGATCTCCATTGTACAGAATCTATACAGGGTAATGACTTCTTGATGTTGACCAACCACAGCCTCTTCTTTTCTCCAGTTCCTGCTCCCTCTCTCTTTCCCCTTCTTCTACAACTCATGGATGTTACATTATATACATCATCACAGCTTTCCAGGAGCAGGAGGCATCATTCCAGGCATTCCTCCAGACATGCCAGCATTTGGACCCAACAAAATCTATTAAAAGCAGGAAAATGACAAAACAAATGAGAAATTAATTCTCACTTTAATGAAAAAGAAACGTAAAACACATTAATTAAAAGGCATTTCAATGAAAAGATACTTAGTCGCCATGAAATCAACATTCTTATTTTTTGTAATATAAAATTACATAATTACATGCGTTTATTAAAAAATGATGTATCTGTGCACTTCATTCTTTTCTTTTTTTTAAATTCATGTGCCCTCATCAACTTTTTCGAAAATATGAAACTTCACTCCTCCCTCGAAAAGACTCCTTTTCCTAGTGCTAAGACGCACGGGCATGGCTATCGTTTCTACCCCTCCTCTCCAGAAACCTGTCAGTGAATCCGTAATATGGTGGTTAGGTGCATTTTCGGATGCGCTCCTCCGCAAGTCCTTTTCCCTACACCAAAACAACCAATCAGCTCACTGGCTCCAATTCCTACATTTCGAAGGAGGAAAAGTGGCGAATTTTCGTCTGTGTATGTTTTAAGAACTTGAGACGGTAATATGAAATTGGTTTAGTCCAAGTCCACGGCTGTCCCATCTGTGTACACAGTTGGGACTTCAACGAATGTGAAGGTTAGTAAAAACTAATTAACTTGCTAACTACAAAGAATCGTGTAAAGATTTTAGACGGATGTTCTGAAATTTAAGTCGTTTCATTTCTCTAATAACCACTTACACGAGATGCTGGATGCCAACATGCCGACAGTAAAGTCGATGAATGCCGACTATTGTCATAACAGTTGTTATGGCAGGTCAACAACCTTTAGCAAATTAGTTTTACCATTCGGACACGTCAAGATGCTCTCGAGGGTGAACTTGACCATTAGCAGCCTCGTCGTGGTCCCTCTCTTGGTTTGCAAGAAGCAGTGGTTCGAATAAAGCCCCACCCTCTTTTTTTGAAGGGTGAGAGAGGATCAGGCCTGGACATATACGTTATGTTTTGTTGGTGTGTGTGAGGCAGTCGTCCGTGAGGGGTTGCCGCTTTTACTTTCATTTTGTGTTTTGTGATTATAAAAGTTGTTGAACATTCGCTGGTTCCCTCCTCCTCCTTCCTTCATCAACTAACCGTGTTATAAACGTATCCCAAACTAGTTGAGATGAGAAAGAAACTGCTTTTAAGGGATGTGTAAGGTAAAGTTTAAATATTTTTGGCAGCTAGGAAACTTTTTGTGTCACATTATTTTACACGTGACACAAAAATATAT